ACGTTGACATGTACTGCTGAAAACATGTTTAACAAGATTTAAGTTGGAGAAAAGGAGCCACAAAACGAAAAACTGTAATGAGAATTGTATATGTTAGTAAACCAGTAAGAACATCAACCCTTTTATCATCATTATGGAAGCTCATTTCATTCAGTGTAGTGTTACTCGTTTTTTCTTTCAGCAACACATTTTCAGTCCTAAGAGCTTGGCATTCTTGCTCAAGAGACTGGAGGCGTTTACCACATGTTTCAGTGCTACATAATAGAACATTCTCATGGAGAACAGGCTGGACATCATTTCCAGGTTCTTCATTGGTGAAGTCCTTCAAAAGCTGTGAGATGGGAGTTTGGTCTGCAGTAGGATTCTTGCTATTAGATCTAAACCGCATTTGTCTCCCCAGAAACACTTCCGTTGTGTTTTTTCCTATTTGTGTTTTCGCTTTTCCTATTCCCGTTGTGTTGGACCAAGACTGTTTTTTTGAAGACAGATTTCCTGTACAATTTTGGAGAGTAAGACATACATATGGAAAGTTATGTATAATCCGGATTATACATAAACATGTCAGATTTATGAATCTGGAACATGTCAGATTCACAAAGGTCACAATCACAGAGGTTTGTTTGCTGTTTTTCAACAAACTTCTAAAGTGAAACCTGAAAATCTGAAAAGTGACAATTACAAACTCTTGAGTAAATCAAGTGAATACTTTTCGGGATGTCCATTTCATAAAACAATGTCTTGTAAAACACTGCCACCCAGTGGTGAAATAAAAAAAATGTTGCTGATTACAGTTAGTTTCTTTAACATTAGTTCAAGTTTTGTGGCTGATCACTGTGAAGTGTATCCTTTCGCCAAGCAACACGGTCAGAATAACCTCATTACTTCCACCCCGCTGCGCGCATGGATATCTTCATTAAAAGTGCTGCGGTGTCAGGTGTTCTGCTGTCTAGTTATTTGATCGCAAACTCGAGTCCACCGAAGCAGCGTGGGGAGATGGCGTCGCGGCGGACGAAAAACACAAGAAGCGTGCAGAGTAAAGAAGAGCTGAGCCGGGAAATGCGGCGCAGCAAGCTGGCACTATTCATCCAACAGTTTGAGAAAGAAGGTGAGGTGCAGCCTCGCTGCAGCCGCACCCACGTAAAGCTTCATACTTCATTTCTGACGTCCATCCATCTTTCCTTACAGCCCAAGAGCGCGTAAACGAGATGGAGGCCAAAATGGAGAACACGCTGGCCACAGTGGAAAAAGTATTCAAAGTGGAGCTGATGAAGATGCCTCCTTCTCTTCAAAACACCCTCATAGGGGATTTAATAAGCGGTGAGTCCTCCGTGATTTTTGTTATTTTGAGCGTCTTACATGAACAACAATTACCGACTGTTTTCTCTGTAGAGGAGGAATTCGTAGCCAGTGAGGAATCAATAGCCAGTAAGGTGAGTTGGGTTTCTGGTTATAATCTGCTGTCTATATTTTTATTGTTTTTATTAATCATATGTTGTACTTGGACCTTTTGCAGAATGAGTGTGGTGAGGTACCCCAGCCCCGCAAACAGATAACCAGTAAAAGAGGTGAAATCAAACTACATTTTTCCATTTTGTCCAGTGAGGTTAACAATTGATCTTGTCATAGTTAAAGACACAAACCTCAATTTCTCCAAGTTATTTTGGGTTTGTTTAGCTGCCATTATTTATACTCGTATTTTTGCAGCTAAACCCACTGATTCAACAGACCAGTCTGCCCCAACCCACAGGGTCTCATCCAAAACCTCAAAGGTGGGTGATGCAGCAGGTGTATTTGCACAGGCATGGCTGTCACTGTGATTTTAAACTTTCCAGTCCTCATTAAAAAAAAAAAAACCCCACGATCTCTGGGGAATAAAAGCAATCGTTTACATTTCTTTATTTTCTGTCTTCTTGTTTTGTGTCTTTGTGTTTAGGGAGTGAAGGAGACTAAAAGGACGAGGACATTAGTTTGTAGTAACAGCACTGGAAATCTCATGTAAGGATTAGGCTCAAAGTCACATAGTGCATGGTTATTTACTGCTCTGAACCCGATCAAGGCCTTATCCAGTGTTAGTTGAAGTGGTTTTCTTCTTAACTGGTGTGTTTGTCATTACTTCCACCTGCCAAGAGTTCTCAAAGATTTCTAGATACCCAGGAGGTAATGACATCAATGGAGCTCATTAGTTTGTGAACAGAGTTTAGATCATCAGAGGAAAATGACATATACCGTAGTAGGATATATTGACTCTTTGATGGTACCACCTTGGTAACATACCAAGACCCCCAAGAGAACCCCTGACTGAATTTTTGTTGGTCACCAGCGTCCGTCTGAGCAGGTCATAAAACCCTCGCTGAGCACTTTTAAACGTGGGATTGGCCATTGCTGCTTTTTAGTTGGCATGGAAAAAACTTGTTCTACACGGGGAGTGGAGTATGCAAACAACCAGGTAAAATGAAAGGCCGTTCAGCTGTAACACCAGCACTCTAATTGCAGCAAACCCTCCTCAGTCATAACCAAGAGAACTCGCCGCTTGGCAAGTTGCAAGACCAACGACCCGTCCCCGCTGAGCCAGTCCAGACTTAAACTCAGGTCTGTTTGACGCCTTTGTTCGATCAGAAACATGTACTGCATATGTTTTGTTTCTGGCTAAAACTATTTTATTTTTTTAATGCTCTAAACTGTGAAGTTTAGCTCCTATGTTGTTTTTAAATAGTTGGCAAGTACAAATACTGTCAGCTCTCATTAAAATGCACTGATGTGAGTTCTGTGTTGACCCGCAGGTCTGTGGTCTCTGCTGGTGATCTGCACTGTTCTACAGCAGGCTCTACTGCACATATCGCTGTAACCACAGCACAGGGGCTGGTACTTTTTTTTTTCTTTCTCTACATTTCAGAGTCAAACTTGGCCTAAAACTAAGGAGTTTGTCGTTGTTCTTGAGTTTAGTGTATGGAGTCAGATTTTTGAATAAAGTGTTCCTTATGTGAGCTGAGGTCCTGTGGTTTAACAGATTCTAGACATTGATGTTTTTCACAAGTCAAGTGTTTCTCTTCATAGATGGTGAGCTTTTCTGAAGAGACTAAAGATGACATTAACTGGGACATGCTGGATGACGTGGCGCGGTGCCAGATTAAGAAGCTCTCGGTAGGAGAAGGCTCACTTCATTACAAACTGTACATAGAAACTCCATTTGAAACTGTTATTTCACTTTTCAGAGTCTGATAGATTATCTGTCACAGCGGAGTGGCTGCGATAGATGACCGAAGAAACCCAAATATCCCCGTGTCCAGGATGTCTGTCCAGATGGAGCTCAGAAACACATTTAACTTCAAGAAGTTTCTATTATACGTGTTCAGCTGAACAGTGTATTTACAATGCATTTGTGTGGGTTTTAACACTAATAATATAAAGATTTTAAGTGTTAATTCATGACTAAGTGCCAAATTGTTTGTATGATGGTATTTTAAATGTGCAGCTGAGGTGTTAGTTTGTTTTTCCTTAAATGTACCACGTGGAGTAAATGTTGTGTAATAGAAACCAAATGGGGACCAGTGTTATTGGGTAATTAACCTATTTAGGAATGTCTTTAAATGCCATCAGTGTACAGGTTAAACTGAAGGTAGTATGGGCTAGCCCCTGCCTAGGTAATGGCTTACACACATTTCATGATAGTAAAACTAAAAGCAAGTATTAGTCCCCAATAACTTGATGCAAACTCTGAACAGATTTCACACGTTTATACTGAAGCAAGCACAGGTTTATTGTTCTAGATAAATGATTTGTATGATAATTGTGGAGAATGAAATTGCGCAATTAAAGTTCAATATTCTCAAGTTAATAAAATGTACTTTCTTGGTACTGTGGAATTACATTTCAGGTTCTGTGCTAATACAGTTGAGATTTTAAAAAATATAAAGTAAAAGTTTGCATACAAAGCTGTCAAATATTGCCACAAAATTCAGGATATTAAGCTTTAAATTGTAATGGATCACTACAGGGATTCCATCTCCACCTCCATGGGCTCCTCCCTCTGTCCCTGTGTAGAAGAGCTGGAGGATGTGGTGTAGGTGCTGCTGTCTTCAGATGCTGGTATGGGAGTGGGCTCGGGAGCCATCCGTGGATAGAAAGGTCCCACCAGCCAGTTGAGTGGCGTGTTGTTGATCAGATAATCCATGACGTTGTCCAGGGACTCTTTCATTTTGCTCAGCTGAACTCTGCTGCTGGTCAACCCTGTGTCTGGCAGGTCTCCCAGCGCCTTAGCTTTGCTGAAGTTGGCGTACACCTGTGAGGCAGAGTAGCCGAGGGACAGCGCCTCCTGCTGGATGTGGTTGGGGAGACCCTGCAGGCTGGAGACGAGGACAAGGCAGGTGGTCTGAAGCTGCTGGGTGAGGGAACGCGCTAGGGTCAAAGTGCGGGACTCAATTACCTGCATAGATGGAGAGGAACAGATCTGAATAAATTTGCATTATTTTCCCACTTTAATTCAATAAGATAAGTGCTGTGTACTCTATCATAAGTGAATCTTATGGATAATATTTTATCTCAATGTAAATCTTTACCTCTGCCTCATGACAGTTCTCCTGGTTTGGACTACTGGACTTCCATGCAACCAGGGAATTCAACTTCTTGTTCACCATCTGGTTAGCACTGTCAATGTTCTTTCTGCCAACCTCAATCTGAAGAAAAACACAGGAAACGTTTTTTGTTTTTTTTTTAAGTCCAAAAGCAGTGAAAGGACAGAATTGCTCTATCATCTGGATAATACAATGAACCAATATTGGCATGATGACTGATGCTGGCAAACAGTGTGGCGTTTACTGATGTCAGTGAATGTGTTGTGTCATCGCTTTTTAAGGGTTAAATATTCAAAAATGGTCTAAATACTGTATATGTGACTTTAAAACATACTGGGTGTTTGTATAACGAACATTCCTTTGATATCCAGGAATAAAAGAGTAAATGTCATAACCTCCCCTCCAAAAAACAAAAAGTCCCTTCCTGTGAATCTTGTTGCTTGCTCATTATGTTAGAGAGAGCGTGCGTGCGTGCGTGCGTGTGGAGGAGGCCCACCAGGTCAACAGTGGAGTTCAGCTCAGAAATGAACTCCATGCAGCGCTGCTTGCGATCTCGTATCTGGACCATGGCTCTGCTGTACGCTCTCTTGCGGAGCTTGGTGGAGAGAGAGCCCAGGCGGACGTAGTAGTTCGGCTCCTTGTTGTCAAAGCTTTTCACAGTTTTTGCCTCCAGCTCTGTTATAAGGCAGGGAAACATGGAAAATCCCAGTCAAACAACAAACTATATAAAGTTGTCTTGTTTTTTTTGTTTTTCTTAAAACCTAAAGTGTGGACAAGTGTAAAAACATTAGTTGTACTTGTTCACAACCGTGAGAAGAGATCAGTTGAAAGAATCCTAGTATCAAGACTGTTTCATAAGCCTCAAAACACCACAGCTCAGCCTGATCAGCTCTTTTTATATGAAGGCACTAATGCAAATTTACACACATAATGTGATCCGGTCAGCTTTTCTGGAAACCAGACCACTAACTGAACTTTGTCACATCTTGTTACACACACAAGTTTAATCTCGCTAACTTTTATTTGTATTCTGTTTATCTGAAAAACAAACTGGAGACAAATCCACCTTTTAAATTATATGTAAAAAGTAAATCATTAGAAATATTTCCTTAAATATTTAAAGAAAAATCTATAGAGGCATTTTTTTTCCTTGTCTTTTGATTCCACTCACCCAGCTCAGCCTCAGTCATAGGTAAGTACTGCTCCACCAGACTCTCGGATGTACTCAGGGCTGTGTCGACTCCGCTGCTGATGAGCCGTGCCACTCTGCTCTCCAGTACAGTGCTCACGCTGCCGTTGACGACAGATTTGGTCTTGTCCACCCCACCGTGCACCGCGCCCCTGGTTTTCTCCACAACGCTGGTCAGAGTGTCTGAGACTGTGCCCGTCACGACATCTTTAGCAGTGGTTACTACATCCTTGGCATTGGACACAATCTGGGGAGATCCACATGCATTTTTATTTTAGTGATTGCAGCAAAGGATGAGTTTAAAGTTTGTGAGGAAACAGCAATTGTGAAAAATGGGACAAAGGTCACGGCTGATAACCGAGGAGATTAGCACATTTCACATTGTGAAACTGAGCTTGCTGATGAATCAATGCATACCTGCTCAGAGGGCTGGTGAAGAATCGGCAGGGTTTTCTCAATCTTGTCCAAACCTTTACAGGCAAGATCATTGGCCATGGCAACTATAGAAGAAAAAACAAAAACAAAAGAATGCTTAAGATTAAATAAAGTAAGTAAATGTTGCTTAAAAGTAAAACAAGTATAAAATCTAAACCGTATCAGAAGCTATGATGCTTATTTCTGCCTGATTATAATAAGTGGGTGAAAGGTCGCAATGCCTCAACGGCCTGACTTGAAAAGACAAAGCGTGACTCAGTTTAATCATCCCTGCAGTTTCACTCTGACCTCCTCCCACCTCTAATACCACGCCTACAGACGGATGAATGGTTCTTACTCTGAGGCTCCAGCTTGTCGATGATGGGTGAAGCAGTGGTGAGAGCCACTGAGGTGATGGTGCGGACTCCTTGCTCCGCGGCCTCACACACAGTCTTGATGTACGGGTGGTTGTCCTTTGTGCTGGAGTACACACTGGACACCAAGCCATAGGTGGAGCTGACCAGAGGAAGGCTGGCGACCCTCTCCACCACACTCTGTAAAGCCAACAGAAAGAAAACAGTTAACGTATAAGTCTCCGAACTCCTTTAAACATTACGGAGTGCTATTTTGTGACGGGCTATCGGCGTAAACCCATGGTTTTTAAAATTGTAAACCACATAAGACATTTGAAAGCATAGTTTCACGAAATGTACTTAAAACTACAGTACCTGAGGGCAAAAACTAACTCACCTGAGTTGGAATAACTTCAGCGGTTGCCATTTCTGTCCAGATAAACCTGCAGACAAAGAAAATGCGATTTAGTTCAAGAAAACAACAAACACGTAGAATCACGACATTTTACAGCAGATAAACTGGAGGTTGTTACTTCCGTATTAGGTTCCTTAAAGTTTCTCATAGTTAGCTACATAATAATAAACGCTCAGGTGAACCTTCTACCGATAGAAAGGCAATGCAACTGTATTAAACAGCAGTTAAAACACATAATGAAACAGATACCAGTGGACACTTACCGAGTAACTTAACTATTTCCAAACGGTCAATGAACTGACTGATACTGCGCGAGCAGGCTGTGGCGGCTTTTATGCGCAGCAGCTATCGCGAGATCTAGCCAAGCGCTGTGACGTAGCGTCGCTACTGCTTGTAGGGTAAAGGTAAACGGGGTAAAAGTTTGGTCGGGGAATTCCTCTGAAATCAGCTGTCACATGAACAGGCGGTGACACAGTTCAGCCCATGGTTTCATCTCCCTTCAGCAGCCATTCAAGTTCAGTGACGACACTTTTTAAAATGTACATATTTTTAATACAACAGCAGAAACAGTGGCTCCAAAGCTGTGAGTAGTCTACACTGAATATGGCTGCACTTCTTTACCATGGGTCCTAGGAAAAGGAAATACATGAAAGCATCTTGACCTTTTCCCCTACAGTCTCCAAGTACAATACACAAATGACAACGTACTGCCTTTTAAATTATATTTTGTATAAATAATCATAACAGTCAGTGGTCTAGAAGGCTGTTGTTCCTGGTAGTTTGTGGTAATTTAAAAAAAATCCAGACTGTTTGTTTTGGTCATGTGAATCCTTTAAATATAATACCAACTGCAACATTACAGGTAAAACTGTCATTTTAAAAATATTATTTGGCCCCTCTACGATTCCCTATTATATTACATGATATTTTGCTTTAGCGGTTACGCTTCCCAGCAAACGTCTATTTAATTAATCATTTCCAATTATCACAAAGCCAACCTGATGAAAAATATTGTAGCTGTTGGCTTTTGGAGACCCTTTGGGGTCTGAGTGCAGTAAATCAGTCTTGCGCAGGCTCAGACTTGGCACGTTTTTCGGGATCTATGTGAGCCAGCTTGATTAGCTCAAACCCACATCATCTACATGGGACCTGCAACAGTTCACCAATGCACTGAGATTAAAGGAAAATAATTGGCACTACAGCATGAAATATGGCCAAATGAGTCCATACACACACACCTAAGTATCATTATGTTTCATGCAGTAAATAAATGTTTGTATTTTGTTGTTGAAAGCAAAATATTATCTTATCATTCAGTGTGGGGACAGTAACTACTGGCAGAAGCCTGAAGGGACAAACAGGATTTCAGTTTGTGGAGTTAGAGTGTATATACAAACCACACAATGCACGTTTGAGTTATGTATTAAAAAACTGAGGCCATTTTCACAGCAGACTGGTTTTTGTCACCACATGGGAAAAACTAGTGTTCCTAATGTTCATCAGCTGTTTGTTAGTGTGATGCTACATAAACCCCCCAAATTGTAAGTCATTTCACAGTTTCACAGTCTTAATTACCCAGTGATTGTTAAAATGAAGATTGAGTTGAAGTTTAAAAAAAAAAAAGTCACCCCAGGGCCTTTTTAATTCACCGTAAAAGTATTTTCTCACAATGCAGGGAGGCCAGCTGTATATTTGCTCTCATGCAGCGTCTAAGAAAGATTAGGGGATTTCTTAAAAATGACTGCAAGACATTTGACCCACATGTAACCTCTCTTAATTGATTTCTGACTGTTGTAAAGGCTTGAACAGCGCCGTACGTCAGTGGTCTACCAGCAGATAAACAGGCCTGCGTTTGCCAGTCGCTCATCGGAGCCAGATGTGTGGCTCTGGTTCGGATCTGCTTGCCAGTGTCAATGCTTATTTCTATTTTGGTACGTGTTATTAAAATGTGAATTGAGTGCTAATGCAGTTTTGTTGGATGCAACACATTTGGAGGCCAGATGAGGAAACATGGGCTTAGCTCAGATTCCTCTGCTGGTTAATACACTGGGACCCTGGATTCAGCAGATGGACCCGTGGGGCCTATTTATCAGCCTTCATGCATTTTAAATGGACCCATATGATCAAATAAATGTTGGCTACAGGAAACAGCAAGATTCTGCATAAAGGACAATAAGATCAAAGCTTTACAGAATAACTATATAAGAAAAACTGAATAACTGACAATCTATTGAAAATGTGTCACACGTTGGGTTTAGTTGCACACTCCCACCTACATTCAGATACCACGTTGCACTGGACATTGATCGGATCATTTTTAACTGAACACGTCATGTTCAGGTGATTGCCCAATTTTATGGCACTCAAAGTACAACCAAGAATAATCAGCGTGACATGATGAAATCTATACTTAAGGTTTGCGGAGGTGTAATCTTTGGCTCACTGTGATGTTATAGCATGTAAAGGTGCATTAGTTCAAAGGAAATGAGGTAATGCTGTATCCAAACGAATTAAATGCTGGCTCATCACCAGCATCAGAACACTGTTTGAATTATTATGTTTTGTTGGATGATTTATTTTTTTAAGAAAACCCAAAATCTATACTTTTTAAAAAGTACAGTTTACTCATGGAGTGTACCACTCTGTTTATTTAGAATAAAATGTATTACACAAAAAAACAATGCACTTAATATTTTGTACACAATTTGTTTCTGCTACTGTAGTATAATAATCATATTTCCCATATCTACTATAAAAATGATTTTCAGTTTCTTATGGAGTAATTTTATTTTGAAAGTCATCTTGAGTATTAGGAGTCATACTCTTTTGTGAGGATACTTGCTTGGATGCTTTATCTGAAATACTGAGTCTTTAAAGTCCCAGTTCAGCTGAGCAGGATGTTCACACATTACTGCCAGCTTGTGTAATTCAGAATGCAGGGTTATTCTGGTTCAATGTCCTAACTTTGCCCCTTTAAAAAAAATCCCCTGACTCTCTTGCAGGCTTGAAGGAGAAACTGTCCACTCTCAGTACAGACAGGATTTCACAACAGAAGCGCCTCATGTTGGAAATGTTGATGAAATGTTCAAGGAAGATGGAAAGAGAGTGTGAATGAAGTGACGCTGAAACTCGAGGAGCAAACTGCTCCTAGTAAATAGTAACCGGAAGTGAATGTTTGTGACCATGTGCCTGCTTTTTGCCTTTGATCTGGTAACAGCTTCTCTGCTGTTCTTCATGGATAAGAAAAAGAGCAGCTAGATGGTGAAACTTGGACACAACTAAGTGGCCGGACAATAATCCCAAACATACATGAAAACTGCTTTTGGGATGGCTAAAGAAAACTCACATCTAGCTTTGGGAACAGTCTTCCCACAGCCCAAAGCTCAATGCTATTTAAAATTTGTGGACTACGTTTAAAAGCCGGGTCTGAGCCAGTAAAACAATCAATTTAAATTAACTCTACCAATTCTGCCAAGAATCCAGCTATAATTTTTCTAGAAACTTGTCGATTGCTACCAAATATCTGGGTGAGATGCAACTTGTTGAGGTGTATGTATCACCCTGCATGTATACTTTCGGTCCTGTGTGGATTAGAGAAAATCCAAAATAACTTCAAACTTTTGTACTCAGATCTTGTATTTTATAAGTCATTTAACATGTATGCATATGTATCATTCCAATTCCATGGAAAATAATATAATTAAAATCCCCAAATTACCATGTGATTTATCCCCATTCCTGACACGACTCTAGTATCTCACACTTGATGGTACTTACAGGTTAAACCCACTAGATGGCACCAATGTAGGCAAAATTAACACTCAAACTAAACACTGTGGTGCTTCTGTTTCTTGCCTTTCCCCAAATTGTTTCAATGTTTAGTTTGCTGTACTTTATTTAGTTTTACACATAATTTCTGTGGGCTAAAGTCCCTTTTTTGGTTTGGGAGAACCCCGCCCCCCAATTCCTGGCCAAAACAGTGATGGACCTGCTGTGATTTGGCACCATAAGCACCAGAATTCTGTACTCATATTTTGGATGGATGGATGGATCAACATACAAAAATTCCATCCATCCATCCATCCATCCATCCATCCATCCATCCATCCATCCATCCATCTTCTTCTGCTTATCAGGAAGTACAATTAGATGAATACATATTAGCCATTTGAAACCCCAGGTATTCAACAGACATGTTGATAACTTGAGAGGGAAGAGCTGGTAATGAGCCGAGTCTGCTGCTTCTCTCAGCTGACATGAAAAGAACGATCACTTGTGGCAGAGAGGGGACAGAGTCTGGCAGGAGAAGACTGGAGATCCTCACATGGGATCCCTCTATTGTGCCCTCAGAGACAGGTAGGGCTGCGGGCAGCATGCCAAGACTCCTGGCTGGGTAACAGATACCTGTGGGCTACTGGGAAAGTGTCACACCTCCAGATCACACACAGCTAGAGGCGCTGCGTGAAGAAAGAGTACAGACAGGAAGAAAAGAGGGAGAGTGGGTGAACTTTAATGCTCTTTAGATCACAAGGGAAAGAGGCAGAGATGGTGCTTTAAAGCAAAGGAGAAAGGAAGTGACATGTCTTTGGTGTAGTGGTATGCTTTGGTTCACTCTACACTTGAGCACAGCAGCCAATTTAAATACACCTTCTGCCAGACAGTGCCAGCCAATAGGTGTCTGCTGCTGTCAGTCAGACAGTGCACTGTGGGTTCTTTAAATACATATTGCAAGCTTTGAATTTCAAATGACTGAGTTCCCCGGGGCGACCCGTAAACACCTTGTTTTTAATGCCTTGTTTTTAATGCATGTTTTGCTCCTATAGTGACTGTGCTCATTTTTACTCCCCAGGTACACTTTGGAATTTGATATTAATTATTATTTTCTGTGCACTCAAAAACATTTAGACCTAAAATGCTGACTTTAAATAATTTAATCACATGTTTTGTTACATAATAACAATGTAAAATATAGAATTTAATGGAATCTGGTATTTAGGGGATATAACCTTCTTTTCTTTTTTTTAGTCTAGGACATAATTTTGTTTCAGTAAAAATACTTTACTAAAGTAAAAGGGAAAAAATGATAGAGTTCAGGAAATCACCTTTGAAAAACATTTAATATTAGAACAAAGGCCTTGATTATGTAGTTATAGGCTGCTGGCTTCCTGTTTGGCCACTTGGGGGCAGCAGAAACTGCTTGAGAATACAGCAGATTATCCCTCAACCTTCAATTTCCAACAGATGCTAACCAACATGAACATTTTTAAGATTTTTATTTCAAGGATGAAAGGACATAAATAACTCCAATTATATATTTTTTAAATTAATTATATTCAATATTCACCCTTCTCTCTGTTGATTTCTATTCTTTTT